ATCTTAAATAGTTTAATTGATTTTATTACTTGTATCACCAACTACTATAAATTTGAACATATAGTTATAATCATTGCTCATTTTATTTAATAAAATAAAAACCAAAACAATTTTTGATTTTATTATATATACAATAAGAACAATTTTTTATATATTTTTATTATAACCTTAAGATAAGAATGAGTTAAACTATATAATATTTGTATTATTGACATAGATCAAAATTATTCCAAGTAATTTAATTCATCCTCAATTTATTGAATTCTTCTTTATTATGCTGAAGTTCTATTTTAAGATGGTATTTATCTTAATTCATTTTTTAATTAAACTTTTCTTTAATTCCTTTAATTTTCTTCATTATTTTAACTTAATAAAATAATAATATTACCTTTAACTATTAGATGGATATTATTATGATTATAAAAATTAACTCTAATTAATAGATGGTTATTGTATTTATGGTGAATTAGAAAATGATGACATTGAAAATTATTTTAATTGGTAATTTTCTCTTTAAAGTTCTTAGATGATACCTTGAGATTAAATAAGTCTAGTTTATGCTTCCTAATATAATTATTTAGTATATAAATACTTTTAATTCAATTTCAAGTTTATTTTTTTATTACTAAATTATCACTAATTATTCTCTATAGATATATATTAAATTCACTATTACTTAATTTGAAGTGATTCCATAACTATATCAGGATTAGAGTTTTAATTGAACATCATTTTCAATTTCTTGAGCTCATCAAAAGTTTTCTGATATTGAGATTATAAATTTAAAATATTTGAATTTTCCTACTGATAAGACATTTGTTATTGTGAATATTATTTTTCAATCATTTGTATTTGTTATTTTAACTAAGCATTTTCTTGATTTTTTTTCTATTAAAATATTGATCATACTTAAAGTTCAGAATCTTTTTCAATGATAATATTTTTTAAATTATTAATGGTTTAATCTTAAAATGCAATAATCTACATTTGCAATGCATAATTAGAATCGTCTGCTTGATTGTTATTTTAAGGTATGTTATTATTTTTCTTATCACTCATTATCTACAATATTATTGGCCAATTCAATAATAAATAAGATTATAATCTATACAAATATTTGCCGCTTTTAGTTAATATTTAAATTATATCATCAAAAAAGTCTTATGCCAAAAGGAAAGTAAACCAAATAAGAACAAGTTAAATAAACAGAAGTTGTTGACAAAAAAATAAAAAAGGGAAAAAAAGCAAAAGCTAATGATGAACCAGTTGAATAACCTGCATCACCACCTTAATCTCCAATAAGAAAAGGAAAAAAATAATAATAAGAAAAAAAACCAAAGGCTACAAAGGAAAGATTTAGTATTATTTAATTTGAAATAAGATAAACTTTATTATCCTGAGACTCCTAATTAATAATTCCCAAATTAATTACAATAAAATGTCATCAATGTAATTGCTTCATTTGGAACTTCTGCACCATTAAAAGATATTACAAACAACCTAAATTTGTTCTATACAAATTAAATTGAAGAATAAGTAGTTCATAACTTTTTGGCTTAAGCAGAAGAAACTGGAATTATTTATGAAAGATCTGGATAATATCATGTTGCTTAAGAATTAGTACCACCTCAAGTATTAGAATATATAAATATTTTAGCCTTAACCAAAATAAGTTGTATCTTAAAATATTGAATAAGAAGCATTACCATTATAAGGAATAGAATCTGCTGTAAAATAACATTTAGATAACGACTAAATTGATTTTGAAGATTAAATTTAAAACTAAGTTAGCGAAAAAAAAGATGGTATATATTTATATATATAATAAAAGTAATTAATGATAACGATGATCATTAGAATTTATTTGATAGTTGATTTATTCAAATTAATAATGTTTTTAATTTAACATAATTCTTAAATTTTATTTCATTTTTATTTTATCAATTTAATGTAATAATCTTTTTATTTTTCATTTTCATTAATATCTAATAGTGTTATTGATTAATTAGCATATTATTCTATTGGATATACAGTATCTAATTTTAAGAATTATTTAATCAAACAAAGTAATCTTAAATAATTAAGATATATATATACCTTAGTATTTCATAAGGATTATCATCAATTGGTTATTTAAACCATTCTTCATTATAGAATAGTGTAAAGTAATATTAATAAATATCAAAATTTGTTTAATTTTCTATTTCAATTTATTATTTTAATTTATGGAACTTAATATAATCAGGATTAGTGTCACTAAATTCTTTTTTTATTTATTCATAATCATCCATAAATTTCTAAATATATTTATTTTTAATACTTTTCTCCATCTTTATAATGTAGTCAATCTTTTTTCAAAATCATCAATTATTATTTTTGTTTATTTATTTTGATTTTTCTTAAATTATTTAATCTCTTTTTTGTAATCGTCCTCAGTTTCAAAAATTTTATAAAAATGATTACACATTCCTATATATTTTTCATCAGGAGCAATGAAATTGTATCCTGATTATAATTGAAAATAAGCATATTGAACTGCACAAACTTTCATTATTCTAATATATAATTGATTATGTCTATCATCTAATTAATTTTTTTTAGTAGCTTCATGAAGCCAATTCACTAAACCATTTAATAGTTTATCTCTTGATAAAATCACTCTTAATAAATTTTCAGCATTAAATCCTGATTATTGTATGTCAATCAATTAAATCTTAGGTGTATTATCATCAGATTTCTAATTCATTTATAATAAAATATAATATTTAATAAATAAATTATATATGAATTTAAGCTTTATATAATTTTCTAATTCTATTGTCAAATGTATACTCTTAGTTTTATTGATTTATCTAGTTCTTCATTAGTAGAATTTTCTGATAACAATACTTAACTTTCATCAAATTTTTCATATTTTGAAAAAGGATAATCTGTCTCTAAATTAAGAAATCTCTCAATTAATATTAATAGACTATTGTTAAAATATTAAATTACGATTAATATCTTATATCGTTCTATTTGGTTTAATCATATTAAAACAATTTCCGAAGATGTTAATTCCAAAAAAATTAAAACCATTTAGCATATATTTCAAAATCTGTAAGGTCCTTTTAAGAAATTAATCTATAAAATTTTTCTATGTTTTTAGGATATTCATGTTTTGCTTTTGAATTTATTAAATCGTTTTCTGCTACTTAAAATATTACCTTAGCTTAAAGTAAAAAATGATAAGTAAATTTTTTCATCTCTTAAACTTCTATGTCATTTGATTGATAAAATCTTTATGACATTTGCAATAATTTATTTTAAAATTATTGTTTGAATATTTCATTAATTTAATCCATTTATTAATTACAGAATCCAAAAGCATTCTCAAGAACCATATAGATATATCCAATAAAACATGTCTAAATTAGTTGAAAATGATAAACATCAAAATTGGGAAACTGTTTTTTTCTATTATATATATGATATGAATTACATTATTAATTGAAATTAGTATTATAAATTCATTACTAGTTGTGCTTTACTTATCATCATAAATATAAAAAGATATGATTTTCTTAAAAGTTCATCTTTTTTTTATAGCTTATATTTATATTCCTAAAGTTTAAAAAATTAAATCTAATCATAATATTTTTGGTATGCTAATTGTCTTTCATATTTTAATAATATAATTGATAATGTTGGTTCGTCATTTTTTAATTTTTTTTCAATAGGTAAGGCTTCATTAATAATAGTCACTAAAATTTATTGAATTATTACTTAAATCTGATTTTAAAAGATCATCCCAACTAGGTCTCTTTTCCTCATCAAAACTTAACATCTTATTAATTAAATCTTATAAATAACATTTCAAATAATCAGGTTATTATTAACATAAATCAGGACAAACAAATGGTTTAGTTTTTAAAGATTTCTAAAATTAATTACGTATTAAAGGATTCATTCCTTATGAAGGTATTTCAAGAAATGCTAATTCATATATAATAATTCCCAACTAAAATAATTTTTATTATTACAGAAAAGATATCACATTTTGTAGAAAATTTATCTCCAAAAACTATTTATGGTGCCATATAAGCAGGAGTTCCCACTCTTGTCATATATTGCTTAATGTTTATATCATCCAATATTTTCCCCAATCCAAAATCTGTTAACTAATCTATTTAAGTAACCATATACTTTTAAAGTTATCTTATCTTTTTCCTTAAACTCATATAAAATATTTGCAGGTTTTAGATCTCTATGGATTATTTTATTTTAAATTAATGTTTAATAGCCCAGTATTATTTATCTAATCATATCAACAATTTATTCTAAAGAAAATTATTTTTTTCTTATGCTATAATCTAAAATTAGAGATTTCAAGTCTCCTCCTCTGCATCTATCCATAAATATGTAAATTTTATTCTAATCTTAAATGATATCATATATCATAATTAAATTAGGATTTGAAGTTTTTTTGAGCAATTCAAGCAATTAAATTTCTTTAAAAACTTATGCCTTATAAGAAATAATCTAATTAAAATTAATAATACTTTAACACATAAGTCTTTATTTTTTAAATTGTCACTTTAACAAGCATAAACAATCCCATAGGAACCTTTTCCTAATATTTCGTCAGTATTGATGGAATAATGAGACACTTTAATATTTGAAGCCATATTTATTAAAAATTTTAATAACTTTCTTATATAAAAAATTATATATATAATAATATACAGTATATAATAAATAAAATATCTAACAATCCTTCTTTGTCATTATCTTATAAAAACTGATTAAGTTTATAGGTTAATTAACTAAAAATTGAATTTCTTTCTATTATTAAGAAAATTTATATATAGATTACATAATAAATGATGGCAAGTTTAAGATATTAATTATTATCCAAGTCTTGAGTCATTTTAAAAACAAATAAAACAAGGGATACTATAGAAATATTTTTTAAAATAATTCTTCTTACAAATTTTAAATGAAAATTTTTAATTTTTATAGAGCTATATAGAATTTAAATAAGTTTAAAGCCTTTGAAATTAGAGAACTTTTCTAATTTATGATTTTTATTAGAATTTGATTAAATTATATAATATTTTAGAATAAAGTGATTTGACATATTCAGATTTATGATTTATATTTAAAAATGAAATAAGATGATGTTTAGTCTCCTTAATTGTGTGATGATCATATACCTAAGCTTACGAATCCTAGAACATCAGCTATTTTCAAGACTACTAATGACATTAAGTTAACTAAATTAGATACCAAATACTAAGAGAAAAATGACATTTTAGTGGCTTAAATCTAAAAAATAGTTAAGCATATGCCTTCTGATGATAGACAATTAAAAGCTGAGAGACATCTATATGATGCTTATTACCTAAGGACAATCAGAAATGATATTGATATGTCTAATAAAGTGTTGTTAAAATTTTTATGGAAAATTGAAAATAGTAGAAATTGGAGTATGATGCTTTTAACAATTACATTATTTTATCAGATTCTTACATTCTTTGAGAAGCCCTTTCCAAATTCAGATTAATAAGAAAATTCATCAATTTCTAAATTGGAGCTTGGTATATTGATTTTGTTGGTTTGTGACTTTATTATTACATTCATTTTATTAGCCACAAAAAAAAATGATAGTGGTTTCTAATTTAATACGAAGAGAATGTTAAAATTGATATTTATTTTATTGTGTGGAATGGATTTTATAAACTATCAATATGATCAAACTCAATTAAGATTTAGTCGAATGATAAGACCTATTCTTATGATATTTTATTCAAAAGATTTGAGAAGAAATCTAAAAGGAATTGCAAATGCTAGTAGAGATTTGCTTCTATTATTTTTACTTTATGCAATTATAATATCAACATTTTCTTTTATTGGAATAAACTTAATTGGTTAATTATAAATTGTAGATGAGGATACTTAAGATTATGGAGATTTCTTTAAATTATTTAATATGTTATTTATGACTGCCACTCTTGATTTCTACCCAGATATTATGATACCTGTTTTATTGTAGGGAACTTATTATGTATTCTTTTTTGTGATATATATAATACTATTTTTATTTCTCTTTTAACCTATCCCATTAGCTATTGTGTATGAAGGATTTCGTAAACATAGAATGTAAATAGCAATTTAAGATATTATTAAATAAAAATCAGCTATGATGGCTAGTTTCATTTCACTTGACACTAATGATGTTGGTTTCTTAACTGAAAACCAATTCAAAAAATTTCTAAAAACCTTTTATCGAGGTTAATTAACAGATGATCAAATAAAAATCATATTTTAAGAAATTGATAAAGATTTTAAGTAATATTATATTCTTAAGTAGTGATAAGATATAATTTGATGAATTTAATTAATTGTTAACAGTGTTGTAGAATAGCAAAAATATATCATTACCTAAAATGAAATCATTAAAATGTTGGGAATAATTTAGAACATTTTGTAATAAATATGGAGTGAAAAAAATTATTGAATCTTGGGTAATTATTGATTTGAGAATAGGGATTTATTATATTTATGCTAGTTATAACAATATTAAATTGTTCTCTTATAATAACAGCATTTTTTATAGATGATTTTGAAATATTAAATGTATTTGATATTATTGATACAGTTTTTTTAGGAATTTACATTTTTGAATGTTTAATTAAAATAATAGGAATTGGTATTGTAGATTTCTTTAATGATGGATGGTATTATAATTAATCATTAAAATTAGGAATGTTTTTGATTTGAGTATAATAATTCTATAAATTCTATTTGATTTCATTTTATTTTAATTTGTTACTGGAAATATTGTTTAATCTATAAAAGCAAATAGAATATTAAGAATTGCTAAAATTTAAAAAGCATTTCGTATATTTAGAGCATTTAGATCAATTAAATTAGTTGGATTTTTATTATAAGGTTTAGAAATCTTTGCTCATGTGAAAAATTTACTTTATAAAATAATAATTTGTATACCACTTATTTTAAGATTAATTTTACCAGTTTAAATAGTTTTTTTTACATATGCTTGTGTTGGAATTTATATATATGGAGGTTTAGAAATTAATAAAGAAAATCCATTTTCAAATACTTAATGTGATCCAAATGAATTGAGATTTTAATGGGGTGAATGTAAATATGCAGATTTTAATTCATTCAGTGGATCATATTTGATGATGCTACAAATATTTACAGCTGCCTCTTGGGGATAAATAGTTTTTTAATTATCTTATGAAACTAAAACTTTAGTAGTTCCAATGATTTTTGTAGGATCGTTTGTTTTCTTATCTATTTTTTTATTAGCTCTGATTGGAGGACTAGTTTGGGAAGTATTCACTGTAGTTTCTAAGACTTTATTTCAATAAGAATTGGAACAGTATAAACCAGAAGAAAGAGCAGCAGTGGAATTAAATTATTAAGATGAAGCAATATTGGGGAGTAGTTTTGGAACAGATAATGATCTTAAAAGTGTATAAGAACTTAGTAATGTAATTCAATTATAGAAAAAAACAGCTATTTTAAATGATGACAATCCAGATATATTAGAATTTAAACCAAGAAGTTCTAGATTGAAAGCATATTAAAATGATTTAATTGAAATTCCTATTGAGATTGAACCTCAAATAGATACTAAGACATATAATAAAGTATTAAATGTAGGAATTATTACTAATAAAGTTATAAAGAAGATAAAACCATAAGGAGATTTTATATAAATTATTTAGGAATCTAAGTTTGAAATTCAAAAGATTTATTGTGATTATTTTATAGATTATAATGAATTTTTAGAATAGAAATTTATTAGACAATCTTTTAATATTTATAATGTAACATCAGAGTATGTAGTTCATATAAGAAATGAAATAAAAAAGGATGAAAATTTTAAGAAAAAGCATATTAATATTTCCAATCATGATTTATTGATATAGAATGCAGTATTGAGAGACACTAGTGAAGTCTATATCAAAAAATAAGAAGAAGAATTTTTAAAACATGAATTTGGATAAAAATTTGAGTTGATTAAAGAATTAAAATTTTAAAATAAATTTAAAGTTGAAAGTAAAATTTTATTTTCTTTAATGGGAATCTTAAAATTTCCAAAACCAAATATAAAATATTTTTTTTAGATTTTATATTTAATTGAGAATTACTTCACTTATTAATTACTTCCTGATAATTCATTTTTTAAATTAATTCACTCTATAGATGGTAAATGGTATTTAATTAGTATTGAAAATAATTAGATAGAGTTCACAAAAATAGGTTATGGTCCTTGGACTTATGAAACAATATTATTTGAGACAGGTTATATGAAAATATGTGAAAATCTAAAGTTTATGAAAGATTTAAAAAATTAAGAAATAAAATATCATATTAAAGAATTTCATTAAAGTATGAATAAGATGGCAAAACAATTTGATATAGATGCAAATAAAATTGATATTAGAAGTACTATTGTATTGTATCAAATTAAAAATTAAAAATATTAACCAACTAATACAACTACACCAAGAACTTATGAAAAAAACAATAGTAAAAGTTTAAACTATTTGACTATGAGTTCTTAAGTAAGATAGAGATTCGCAGATATTGATCTACTTTAAGATGATCTAAAACAAGATTCTCCTATTTAATATATAAATAATTAAGATGAAACCCATAAACATGTTAGTTAAACAATTATTTTTGTTTTATCTAAGATTCAAGCTTAGGAGGGAAGAATAGTTTATCAAAATTAAGTCATGTTGGCATAATTTATATAGGATTTGGCAGGAGTAATCTAGAATTATTCATAAAGTTTTTTCTAATAATTAGAGGATCTATATTCAATGAGAAGTAATCAAAGAAGTATAAAATCAAGATAAAAAACCAATATATCTAAATGATAGTTAATTTTATTTATTGTCAATAATAAAATTTTTATAAAGTATATTGAATTAACAATCTATTATTTTCTTTTTATTTTATTAAATTTAAATATTAATCTAAAAATATTAATATAAATGTTTTCTTGATTGATAAATTCAGAAGTTCACAATTCTTTTGTAAAGATTTAATATCATAATAATTTTAATAAAATAATGTATATTTGGAATAAAATGTAAATTAATTAATATTGTTATATTATAAATATATTAGTAAATCCCATATATAAATATCATGAGAAATATCAAATAATTTTAGGTATATTTTTAATTACAACTTAAAGTTATTTTAGAAAGACTGGCTTAATGATTATATCAAGCATACCCAGAGCTTTACATTATGTTTCAGTCTCATAATCATCATGAGCAGTACATGCTATTATGGGAATCCTTTTAATTTAATTAGTTTTCATTAATTCAATAAGTATTGATGTAGCTCTGAATTAATAATTATTAATTACTTAAATCCATTTAAAATAGGCATATCTAAATCCATTAAAATAAATTTAATTTTTGAATGATTTTCTTTAGTCTTATTAATACATTCACTTCCATCATAAGCATGCATGAAATTGGTATATCCAAATCTCTTTAACATCATTAAAAGAGCATCATGATTAAATGGTTCATCATCAACAATCATAATATATTAATCTTTTTCTACAACTAATTCTTAATTGGAATCTATTCCACCATCTTTAAAACTAAACTATCTTAAAAATGAATTCACATCAAAAATAGATGAAGATCTTTTATTGAACAATTATGAATGTTTACTTTAAACTTAAGATTAAGGTTATGCAATAATCTATTTAAAATTTCTTATATGTTTAATTTATTCTATTTTTATTTCTTAACTTTGAGGTTCATCTCCAATTTAATCACTTACTTCCTATATTTCATCCATATGATCTTATTAATTAAGTATTAAATTTATTTCTGATCTATCAGAACTTAAACTACCAAACCCTATATCTGATACACCTTTATTGATATTTAATTCTTATAATATTGAAAACTTGAATTCAAACTCTTCTTATTTAAGAATTTGTAAATGACCTTTATTTCCATTTAATAAATTAATTAATTTATTTGCTACAAATAAAGTTGTTCCTAATTTATGATTCCAAGAGCGTTTAATTGATTTCAAAAGATTTTAATGAAATTAAAATTACATATTGTAATCCCCCATCATTTCTTAAGTCATTCCTATTCCAGAATCTTTTATGGCAAAATTCAATGTTCCTTAATTCATTTCCACAGTCAAATGAATTGTTCCATTTTTATTTGAATGTCTATAAGCATTATTTAATAAATTATAAAGTATTCTTTCCAATTTCAATGAATCAGTATTTAAAACAATATAACTATAATATATTATTAATAATACCCTTTATAATCTTTGAATTGAATATTTTCTATTAAGATACGTAATTTAATTGATTTAGCTTTACACTACTCTCTAATAAGGTCTTTAACATTTTAAATAATTTATTTTAAAGTAATACGAGAAGTTTAGAATGTCATGGAATCTGAATTAACATAGTCTAAAAAATCCAAAATGCTATACAATTAACATTTTTATTAGATATAGATTTAAGATAGAATGATCTTTTAATATGGTAGTACATTCAAATCAGTAAGCATAGATGTAATTTTTGCCAATGCTTAATTTAATGGAGTTTTGAGTTTGTGAGAGAATATTTAAGATAAATTTTATCTAAATTTTCTTTTTGATCCTTTTAATTTATAATATAAGAGACTATCTAATTTAGTAAAGTTTAAAATATAATCTTAAGCCTTATTTCTTGTTATTTATACTCTATATATATCTTTATTGTTTATTTCTGATGGTATATATAAAATATAAAATAAATTAGAATTTTCTTTTTCATAAACTTTGAGTAATTCTTCAGTTGTATAACAATAATATGTTTTTTTCCATTCAGGATAAAATATATCTTTTAAACTTGGAATAGAATCTTATGCTTAATAAATTTAATAATGAGATTCATTAATTTAATTTATAGATAATACATTTTTTCTTTGATTAAGATGGTTAAATTTATTTTTATTTTGATTATTATTATGATTTAAAATTTCTTAATGGTTAATATTAAATTTCCTACAAAATTCATTTGTATTTGGTTTTTCTTATCTTTTATAATTTTTATATTGCAAATATACATCAAATAGGTATAAGACTCCTAATTCTATAATAGTTTACTAATACGATTTATTGTGAACACTATTAAATTAGTTTATGCAAAAAATTAACATTGCAATAACTGCAAATTAATTTAGTATTAAAAAGTCTTTTTTTATGTTATATATATATATGACTATCCAAAAATCAGTTTAACCAAACATTGATAATGATTTTGCTAATAAAAATAACAATAAAATCACTTTTGAATGAAATATAAAACAGTCTATTTTTATAGTGATTATATGTACTTAACAATAAAATATAAAATGTATACCTATAATCAATACAACTTCTATTAAATTCAAAATTAACACAATATATTTCTGTTCAATAATTGAAAATGGAATTGAAATTAATTGAAGTAGAAAAATGAGCCTTACATTATGTTCGATTTCATTAAGCATATTAGTATTGTTAATATTAATAATATATTAAATCATATTTGTAATTAAGAAGTGAAACATACCAATGATCTTTTTCTGCCATCTTCTATATTAGTTATTTATTAAAATGCTTCTCTTAGTGTTTTAACAAATACTGGTTTCATTACAACATAAAGCATACCAACTTAAATACATTTATCTATTGTTTCTTTATCATCATGAGCAGTGCAACCAATTATTGGTATATAATCTAATTTTTAATTTAACATCATATCTACTAAAATTCTTGTAGCCTTAATAATTATATTATATTAATACTTCCATTCCTCCCATTATAGGCATATCTAAATCCATAATAATTATGGAAATTTCACCTTATTTCTCCTTAACTAAATCAATTGCTTATTGTCCATTATATGCTTTTAAAAATTATTTATAACCCATATTTTTCATCATTAAAATTAATGTATCATGATTAAAAGGTTCATCATCTACAATTAAAATTTTCTAATCAAAATCCATCAAAATTTTATTTGCAAAAGATGATCTAACCCTTTTTAAAGTAGAAGGTGTTTTAAAAGTTTTTGGTTAATTAATTGGATAAATAATTGGAGTATTTGCTGATGGTTCACGTATAACTTTTGAAGAATTAAATAGTGATAAAGATTTTGGTTTAATCAAAATAGAATTATTATGTTTTTAATCATTATTGATTTCATTTTTTACAGTTTTTTTACTTTTTTATTTTAACATAAAACCAATAGTGAACTATTCTAATGATCCATCAGTTGTTTTATTTTCTTTTATTATTAATTTGAATTTGAATTCTGTTCCCTAATCAGATGAAGAAATCTATAGATGTTACTCATAATCATTTAATATATTAATTAAATGATTAGTTATTTCTAATGATAATTTAATTTCTTTTTTAATTGATATTGATTTTTTTTTATATTAAAATTCCATTTAGGATTAAATCCATTAATTTATATTTAATAGTTCTTCATTATTAAACAGGAATTCACTAACATTAATGATAAAAATGACCTCTGAGTTTTATTTGTCTATATATACATTTAGTGTAATTTAACCATTTTATGGAGTGTATCTATAGGTTAAATTAAGCAAATTGTATAGAACTCTTTCTAATTTAAGTAAATCTGATAAAATATAAAATCTATAAAATGGTTATTTCTAAGAATTTACTTATCGATGTTATTTAAGGGAATATTCTCCACAAAAATTGAGAATAGAATCTTTTTATTTTGACATTAAGATTCTATTAATTCATTAAGTGTATATAGGAATGATTTCATATTAATTTTATAATATTATATTGTGATTTGATCACATTATGGATTAAGAAATTCCAAAAGATCTGATATTTAAAAATATTACAATTTAGAATTTATATATGCAGGTTTAATATAATTTTATTTGATATTATTGTCCATTTCAGTGTAATTGTAAGCAGATGATAGAAAACCTAAGGAAGCATTTAAAGGAGTTTTTAATTTATGAGCAAATATATCATAAAAGTATTTTTTGAATTTATTAAACTTCCATCTCATTTATTTTTAATGAAAATTATCAATTTTAATGAATGCAATTATAATGAAATCTTTTCTTCCAAATTTTTTGTATATAATATTATATTTAGTTTTGATTTTCTTTTCTTAATCAATTTATGTAGCAATATAATGATATTAAGAATCTAAATTCTCTAAATTTTAAATATGTTCTATAAATTTTTGATAATCATTAAATACTATACTAGGTTTCCAACCAAATTAATTTTAAGGAGTACTAGCTTATTCTTTATCTAAATAAGCTTTAATTTAAAAATTTTAGTTATCATTACTTTAATTTGTAGTCATTTGTAAATAATTATAATTGAATTTTGAGGTAGTTTTTGAAAGTTCATTAAATTTATGATCAAATATTTTAAAAATTATTAATTACTTGATTTCTTAAATAATTAAATTTTCTGCTATTTGTATATTTGAATCCTATTCATTTTAATTAAAAATCTGATAAACTAAAATGACAATACAATAATTGAGTTACTGAAAATAAGCAAAATTAAGTTGACCATCATATTATATAGAATATATAATAATATTGATTGTTAATTATATAAATTTACAATATTTAAGTATTTGATTATGTTTTTCTTATTTGAATATTTGTAAAAGATAAATTAAAAACCAAATTGACTTCATTCCATAATAGTATATCTATACAGCATTGTGAAAGAACAAAATAATTATTAGAAGTTCTTCACTTTTTTTTATCTTAATTTTGAGGAAGTAATGTACTTGTTATATGAATGGACAAATTTACTTATAGAAAACAATAAAATCAATGAGTTGCACACTATTATAGAGATTTCATTGACTAATATACTATTGATCATATCCAATAGAACAATAGCACCAAACATAATATAAAACTATGTTGTTTTCTGGCTCATCTAATAATTAATAATAATATGTAATATTCAATTTATTATAGACAGAAATAAGAAGAGAATTATAATCTAAAATCATTTTATACTTGATGATATGACTTTTGATCCAGCTAAGACATTTGAAGTTCTAAACTTTATTTCATTTACTCTCACAAAAGCTTCTTATAAACTCCTTACAAATACAGGTTTTGCAATAACACAAAGCATTCCTGCTTCCATACACTCTTATTAAGTATTTTTATCATCATGAGCAGTACAAGCAACTATTGGAATATAATCAATTTCATTTTATTACATCATTTAAATCAAAACATTAGTTGCCTATCAATAATATTAAATTTTACTCTAATTCCTCCCATAATTGGCATATCTAAATCCATAAATATAATTTTTATTGAAGTATGATACTTTTATACTAATTCTATACATTATTAACCATTATATCCACTAAGAAAATTTTTAAAACCAAGACTTTTTAACATTAGTTTTAATGTATCATGATTAAAGGGTTCATCATCTACTAACAATATTGTTTAATTAACATCTTATCTAATATCTACAGAATCTCCAATTCTTTTCATATTTATTGATCTTTCAAATCCTAAAGATAATGTTAATGATTTTTCATTAAATTCTTTCTAATAAACATTTTTCTAATATTAAATTATGCTCTATTAAGCTTATTAAGTTCTTAAAATTGTAAGTTATGGAGAATATGATAAATTTTAAGTACTCAAACAAAATGGTTTATTAGCACAGGGTTCATCATCTATATCTAAACCTTCAAAAATTCTCTCTTTACTAATTAAATATAATTATATATACTACCTAATTTAATACTAACTTGGAGTATAATTATAAAAAGGATAGCTATTTGAAGGTTATTTTGTTGTACTTGAACTTTTAGGTTATGAATTCGAATTAAAAATTTGTAAATCTACAGTTTATTGAAAACTACCTTATTGACAATTCATACTGATAAAGAAATAATAACTAGCACCTTCTTCAACTGTATTTCTGACTTATAATGAACATTACATATCACTTAAGAAAAATATTAATTTGTTAGTTATTTATAATGTTAAACTAAATTTGAACTTTGATTTTTTGACTATAGAATTTCTAAATTAAGATATTGATTTATTTTATTATTAAGCAAATGAATTAATTTAATCTACTTATTCTTATTTGAATCCCAATACATTATCATTAATTTTAAATTATACTTAATTCAATTCAGAATCAATTTAAATATGGAGACATATTCTTCCATTTATTTGAGTGTGTCTATAAGATTTATTCAATAAATTGAATAAAATTCTTTCCAATCTTTATTAATCTGTTTATATATAAATAGGTCTAATATTAATAATAATAATAATAATACTTTTCTCTTATATTAAAAGGTTTATCATTTATTAAAAATTCTATTTTAATTTTCTTTGCTCTACATTATAATTCAATTAAATCATAAATAAGTCCTAATGTTTTATGCATATTCACTTTTACTATTCGAAATTATAATAAATCCTCTTAATTAATATATTCTAATATATCCTGTACTTAATAAAATTAAATTTTAGAATTTATGAAAGCAGGTTTTAAAAAATTCATTTTTAATTATTCATCTACACTAATATTTTCTTAAATAGCAGTTTATAAATACCCAAGAGTTGTATTCAAAGGAGTTTTTAACTTATGAGTAAATATTTTAGATAAACTTAATTTAAATTTATTTATATTTTTATTCTATTTATTAATTAAATTATCATCTTGTTGTAACATAGCAATTTAAAAATATTTTTTACCTAAATTATTAAATTATTGAATATAAATTCTCCTTTTTAATTTTTATCCTGTTGGAATATCTAATTCAGAAGATATAATTATTTTATTTTTCATTTATTTAAATTCTTTTTAGAATATCTCAAGAAAACTACTAATACTATCAAATACTAATGGTTTTGAATTAAAAACACGTTATTCTTGTTCATTACTATTAATAGAGTAACACTTTATTTTAAAATCTTTTTAAGTTTTCAACTATAATTATTAATTATCTAGACGATTAGAAAATAAAGAAACTCCAGAGAGAATTGATATTTCTGGTTAATTCTATTTTTTATCATCGACATTTATTAGGTTTTCATTATATAAACAATATTTGATTTTACAAAATATCTACTTTTGTAGTTGCTTTTATGCTTTCTTTTTTTCTGTAAAAAAATTAAATCGATTATATATTAACAATCCCATCAAAAATATTTGTTCTAATAACACTTATAAATGACATATAGGACAAATAGGTTCAATTTAAGCGGAAGTTATGGCTATTATAAGTAATAATATAATGAATTAGATAATATGCTTATTTGATGCAATAGATAGCAAACTAAACCAAATATAAGGAACTCCCTTTAATGCAAGTTAATAAGAGCAATAATAAAGCATAACTGAAATTTCTAACAATTTAAGTTTCTTCTAATATTTGTATTTATAAAGTATAATGACTTGAATATATTAGAATAATCTTACATAATATTATTCCAAGAAGTGCTGAATTTAAAATGATTGTTTAGATTTAGTTATTCACTACACCAAATATTAAATCAAGCACCGAAAGACCTAACATGGTTAAATTTCTATTCAATATAGGTACATAACTCATTATATATTATTAATACTAAATTATTAACATAACTTATTTAAATAAGTAATCTATTTATTCAATCAAAATTTCTAAAAGTATACTAAGAAGAATGCAAATTCAGAAAATACAAAATACTAATATAAACATTTTTTCTAATTTTAAACAAAAAGAATTTAATAATTAACTAAGATTCATTAATATAGATAAGAGTGTAATCAAAAAAAGAGGATTTTTGAAAATTGTTACAAAATATATTATGAAATATCTAAAATCCAATCTAATAATTACCATAATTATATAATTTTTTGATGATCAGATTTTTAAGTAAATATGGTGCATCTTAATAAAAAATGGTCACATTCTTTTTTAAAAATAAAGATAATTCCTTAACAAAAGTAACAACACCTATTGGATAAAATTTATTATAAATTGCACATAAAAATGAGATTGATTTAGAAGGTGCATGTGAATAATCACTAGCATGTTCTACTTGTCATGTAATATTACCAAGTAATATATATTTTATTGATATAGAATAATTATATGATAAAGTGCCTTAACCTGTACCTGAAGAAGAAGATCTATTAGATCTTGCTTATGGATTGACAGAAACCTCTAGATTAGGATGTTAAGTGAAGGTTGATGAGAAATTTGAAAATGTTGTAATATCATTACCAAAAGCTACAAGGAATTTCTATGTTGATGGTCATAAACCAAAACCTCATTGATTTAATTAAATTATATATATAAATATATGTTAAATATAGATTACTTTAACACATTTATTATGCAGAATAATTGGTAATATTAAAAGAATTATAAACAAATTATGTGACATTGTCAATCTAAAATGGATTTATACTTTTAATTGTCAATTTTGGATTTTATATCATTAAACAATATACTAGATATCACTTTCAAAATCGACAATTATTCAAAAAAAGAGTATTTTTGTTAATGATGACTTTATTCAACTTTGGATTTAATTCAAATAAAATATTGAAACATCTTTTTTTTATTTATCTATCATCTATTTCACTTTTACATTTTCCTAATGATTGAAAATAAATAATCAAAAATAAAGGGTGAGAAAACAGATAGTGTAATAATTTGATTATGATTACTTGTATTATTACAATTAATTAGTACATATTATATCATTTTTTCAAAATATTACTAACAATTAGTTGTATTTTCTACTTTTTTTATGATTATTATCAATGTTCATAAAGAAATGATTTACATAAGGAATTTATTAATATTTCATTAATATCTCATAATAAATTATCATTCTAATTCTTCCAAATAATCCTTTACTTAAGATGGTGGCAAGATTCTGTATACATGATCATCCCTAATCACTCCTACTTCAATATTAGTGGGTGTAATTTATCCTTAAATATATATAATAATAGATGTATACCTTCAAATCCTTCTTTTAATGTTAATAAGGCTGTATTAATGGCATCTTCAATTTCCATATCAGCATTATATCTCTTTTCTAAAAATGCTTTAGCATTCTTGGCTTACTTACCTATTGCTGTTGCCTTCCAACTATAATAAGCACCACTTGGATCCAATTATACTAAATGAGGACCCTCCTCATCATATCCTGCTATAAGAATGGATACACCAAATGGTCTAATTCCACCTCTCTATGTAGCTATTTACACATCCTTATTTTATTCAATATTTCTACTTCTGCTAATTCTCTACTTAATGTTTATACAAAAATTTCCTCTTGATATTTCAAATCATATTTCTTCACTAATTTTCTTGCTTATTATGATAACACTCTAAAATCTGGTCCCAAACCAGCATATGTAGCTGCAATATTATCTGTCAATAAAGCTATTTTTTGGACACTTGATTCTTCAATTAAAATTGATGATTATTTCTTCTCAACAACTAAAACTACACCATTTTTTGCTTTAATTCCTATAGCTGTATCTCCTTTTGCTACAGCATTTAATGCATATTCTATTTGCAATAACTTGCCTTTGCTACTAAAGGTTGTCAAAGCAAAATCTGTCATACTGGTGTTTTAAATAATTTAATTAAAAAAAATTGATAATGATAAAAATATTATTGCGAATCTCAACTTAGACTATGAATTTTAAGAGAATTCAATTTGAAGATTCAAAATAAATAATGTCATATAATATTTATTTATCAAAATACTCCAAAAATTATTTATACTCATAAAACTTACTTCTCTTTTTTATTGAATAATTAGAATATTTATAATTTAGAATCACTCTATTGTTATTAAACAATATTCATAATATAATAATTTTCATATACATAATTTATAATTTATTTTAGATATAAAATTCTTATTCAAAATTCAGTTTTTATGATTCTTTATTATCCAATTAATAGTTAATCTAAATATTTCTGTCTACTTCTCATCAACTACTATTAACTTTTAGGTATTTTTAATTGAAATTTTCTGAAATTCAACCTTTGTACAGTAGTGTTTAATTTTACACTCTTTGGCTCTAATTATTAGAATAGTTCATTTGTTAATTTATTGTAACTCTTTGTGCCTTCTTATTTCAATTCAATCCATATAGTTTTATTAAGATCAGTCTTTTTAGGAAACTTGGCCCTTTCCAAATGATTCAACATTTCATTTGATTCAAATGGAGTTGGAACAATTAATTTTGGTAGATTTGAAGATCCAAATTTGTTTTATGAATCTTGATTAATCTTTAGAACAGAATAACTATTTAACTTATTAACGTAATTAGCAAATGATTGTTCTAAATTATTGTTTTGCATAGTTTTATATAAATTTATTTGTAATAATCCTATCTACACAATCTAAGATAATGATGTGATGATGAATTATATTATATTAAAATCCAAGAAATTATAATAGATATTATAATTAATATTATTTAATAACTAATAAATGCTATCATTCACATAACATATAAGTAAATAAAAGTTTTGTATATTTTTTTCTTTCTTCTAATGTTAAAAAAGGTAGTAATTGTTCATAATTAGGTCCGTATTATAATTCCATTTTTTCTACATCCATTTTTTCTACATCCATTTTTTCTAACTATATTTATAAATAGTAAGATTACAGTCTATTTTATAATATTTTTTGCTTTATTCATTTTTTCTTATCCAAGAGCATTTTCAAGTTTAATCTCTAAACTAAAAAAGTTCTAATCTTATTTATTTAAAATATCTAAACATTACTCCTCTTACTTTGATATTTATTTAGCCATATATTTTTTTTTCTTATAGTCTTAATCTATTGGTTCAGCTTCATCATCTTCTCTATCTTCAATTAAAATTGTCTAAATTAAATTTTAATCAAAATAATTTTCTTTGCCTCCTTAATTTGGAAATTTTTCTATTGCATTATGAACATTATTAATCTTTATATATTAATAATTTATACCAAACTTTCCAATTCTTTAAACATAAGATCAAAATCTTTGGCATTCTTTTCAATCTTTTATAATTAATCAGCTTTTGATTTAATCTATTACTTGGATTCACATTATTTGTTATCAATTAGAGATGATTTCTAATATGGTTATTTTTACAAATTTTATTTTTATTAATCATTCCTATTAATATCCATTTTAGATATTAATTAATTTTCAATATTTCTTTATTTTTCTTCTCTTTCTTTTTATTTTTCTAATTCTTATTATTATAAGTATTTTTATTTATCTAAATATTATTACTTCTCTAATTATCTTTATTTTTCAAGTAATTATTATTAAATTTAATACTCTTTTTATTTCTTTTCTTACTCTTATTACTCCTATTATTATTTTAATTTCAATTATCTATTTTTTTCTTCTTGACGTTATTATTCTAATTGTTATTATTTTTATTGTTATGGTTGAATAACTGGAGCTTTATCAACACTTATTCGTCTTTTCTATTCAATATTCACTTTCTAAACTACTTTCTAATCTGAAACTAAAGGCCTTGAACTTTAAGGTCTTTATTAAGCAACTTATAATTTTGGTTATTCTTTTGGAGCAGTTGGAGGTCTAAACAAATATAAAATAAGTTAACCTTGGCTAATCTAATTTTTATTTATTTTTTGGAGAAATGAATTATTGTTTTTTTTAATCAGGTATCAAAGCTTATTCGCTATTTGAATGTTTCTATTACACTTTAACATCGAATCTGCATGGCTCACTTCTTTATTATTTTTCTTAATCACTTTTTGGTCTTATAGGATATTATTATTTTGGTGATTGCTTTATGACTTCTTTCTATTAAGGAATATCTTTCGAGATGTTTTTTTTTTATATTAAAGGTGAATTCTTTATTATGGGATCAATTTTTTTAGGAACATCAATTTATTTTTGTATATCTTGCTTTTTGTATTGATATTCTTATTATTAGATTTTTGGTACATCTTTTTAAGGATCAGATTATCGAGATAAAGGTTATTATTATTATTTGATTATTTAAGGAGGTCGAATAATATCACAATCTTGAAGTTAGGGTTTTTTAATAACTTCTGGAAATTCTTATAAATTTTTAGCATTTTGTTCTAAAAATTAAGGTGGACATGGTTATTCATTCAATACCAGATTAACTTAATTTAGGTTCCCTTTTACTTCAAACATTTTATTATGAAATACAGTATGAGAGAATTCTTATTTCTGAATTGTTTCACTTAAAAAACTTTTAATTCTATTCGTAATAACTGGCATTTCTATGAATAATGAATAGATCTTTACTTAATATTTCTTAAATTGTAGGTCTTCTTCGATAATCTACTTACAACATCTATTAAACAAGTTATTTTAAATCTTTAGAATAATTTGCAGGAATTGGTTTGTATTGTCCTTTAACAATATTTATAGCGAGAACATGCAATGAATCACCATTGAATGGAGGTTATAAAGCACATAATTCATAAAGTATAACTCCTAATGACCATATATCTGTCATAACTGAATAAGGTTTGCCTTCTATTATTTCAGGACTTATATAATATGGCGTTCCAACCATAGTCTTAGCTTTTTCTAAAGTTATTTTCAATATTCTTGCAATTCCAAAATCTCCTAATTTAACTTGACCTTCTTTATTTAAGAAGATGTTCTATCCTTTTAAATCTCTATGAATTATCTTCCTATCATGTACATGTTTAATAGCCAAACATATTTGAGTAAACCAATCTAAAATTTGAGCTTCAGGAAGATATTTACCTTTAGCTTCCTTTATTTTTTAAGATAAATCACCACCTTTGAATTAATGATAAAATTACCATCTGCATATTCCATAACAATACACAATCTTCCTTTTTTTGTTTTATAAACTTCTCTAAACTTTACTATATTTGGATGAGATAGAAATTCAAGAATTTTAGCTTCTCTCAAGGTTTCATCTTTTTCTTAATTAGTCATTGCTGCTAAATCCATGTATTTAGAAACCCACAAAGACCTAAGAAATTAAGGTGTAATTAACTTATCTTAAAGGCATTCTACTAAATAAGCTTTCCCAAACGCTCCTTCACCAAGTAACTTAAGACGTTTATAGAGTTCATATTCTGCTTATTTTCTCATTTAAAATAAATATTGTTAACTATCAAATTCAATAATTCAGCTTCTGCTCTCCTTATTCTGATTTATAATCTTTATTATCCTTTTCCTAACAATTAAATAAAGAAAGGATCTGGCCAATCTGAAACCTTGAATAAATTCATTAGCTAAGGTTTCAATTCTAAATAATCATCACAAAATCTCTAATGATAAGGAGGATTGTCATCTAATTGGAATTCTGCTCTTAAATTTTTATTTTAAAAATATTATTGCCATTTAACAATACTTTCTAAAGTAGTTAGATTAAGCATTCTAAGGTCTTTTAATTTCTCTAATATTAAGTCAATTTGAGTTTAATTTTGTTTTAACAAAGCAAAAGCTTATTTAAAACAGTTCTCTCTGGCTGTAATTACAAACATACAATGCTGTATTGGAGCTAATTTTTGATTCATTAGATTTAGTTCCTCTTCCACAACTGCTCTTTTATTTTAGGATGCTTCTAATATTGTATTAAATAGATTCTTAAATAAATAAACTTAAATATTATACTTAATGGATTTTAGGAATACAATAAACTTTGTAAAGTTATCTCAACTAGTCTAATTTAGTTTCAACTATTTTTTGTTCACATTCTACAATTTCAATTGATTCTTGTTGATTTTTTTGCATTTTTATATATTTTTAAACGATTATTGCTGTAGTGTTTTATAGTTTTGGCAGTCTCTTCTTATTCAAACTCTCTTTAGTTCTTAAATGCAAGATTTATTCCGATTTAATAATCCTATCATTCCATGCTCTTTCCTAAACTGTATTTCTTAAGATTTACTCTCTCTTTATAGCGCTTTTTGAGAGAAGAACATTGAGGTTTTCTTTGCTTTATGAATACTTAGCTATTAACCTAGCTTATATTTATCATTATTATATTATTTTCAATATAAATAAATTTAACTAAATTGATTCTCTCTTATAAACTTTTTACTTTGATTCTATAACTTAATCTAAGGTAGATGTTTTAAATCTAGAAAAGCATAGTATATCATGTCTACTGATTTTGATTACCCAATTATTTATTTTCGATTTCCATTTGACGATTGTTCTTATAAAATTTAATCTAAAATTTCAAACTTCCAACTTTATTTTAACTTTGCTTATCAATTTAACGTAGACTTAATATTTCACTTTGACTTTTAATCTCTCATTTTATACCCACTTATTCCGTTGAATGATTTCAATTAATTAATTTATTTAATATAATATAATGAAACCTAGTAAATCATTATTTAATGATTTAGAATTGCCTTTATGGGAACTTGATGAAAACTTAATATTTAAATATAAAGTATAAGCATAATCCTAATCATTAAATTAAATTTTAAAGACTATATTCAATAAATAATCTGATGATAGAACTTATGAAGAAATCATTTTTATCAATGAATATTTATTGGGATTCACTTATTTTAGAAAAATAAAAAATTTTCATGGTTAAGAATGTCTATTCAGATTGTCTTAATTTGCATAATTGATTAGTGTTCCTAATGAGATGATTATCGTTAAAAAAAGTAACTAAAGAAAATAAAATAGATGAGGAACCTAATGCTTTTTATTTCATTATAGAAGGGTAAGTAATGCAAATTAATGAAACTCAATGTAATGTTTCAAATATTGCTGATGCACTTTTTGAAGAAAACCTAACAAAACTTACACCTAACAAATCAGAATACATTACTAAAAAGAATTCAATCTTCATTATTATAAATGCATTTATTTTTAGAGCATCTCTTCATAAATACTAACATTAAATAAATCCTAAGAAAATGATTTAAATAAATCATCCTATATTGAATGTATTACAATAATACGATATTGAAGAATTATCTTCTGATGCTAAAATAGAATATTATGAATAAGGTCAAAAAATATATAAAATAAATGAATCACTTGAATTTTTATATATTATACTTGAAGGAAAATTAATAATAGGAAAAAAAGTTGGATCTATATAAAGGAAACACTTTCAATAAATTCCCTCTATATTTTTAGCAGAATCAACAAAAGAAAAACCTTAAGTTAAACCTATTGCAGAAATATCAGAAAATGACATTTTTGGGTTTGAAGAATATATATCTAGGCAAATTAGTAGAGAATTTTAAGTTTAATGTTTAACCAAATAGTGTAAAGTTATTAAATTCCCACTCAAGATCTTCTTTTCAAAATTCAATTAGGTTTTTAATTTAAAGGAATTTAAGTTGTTATTAGATATTATATCAAAAAGAAATCATTATAGAAATAGAATTCATTCCATCTAGGTATAATTATATGAAAATCAAAGTTAATCAACCTAAAGATCAACTAAACCTATGTACTATGAAACTTTAGAACCAATTCCATATGATCATTAAATCAGATCAAAACCTAGATCATTTTTATTAGAAAATAGCATACTATTGCCAGATGATTTAATATCTAATTTACAATTATCATACAAATTAAGAACAAATATCAAAAAAAATGATCAATCAATAAATTGCAGTTCATTTACCTTAGAAAATGTAACTGAAAAACAAAAAGAAAAGAAAAAATTATAGATAAGAATTAATTATTAAATTGAAAGAGAATTACATAATAATAAATCATTTGATAAAACTAAATTAATCAAGAAATAAGAAAAAATATAAAAACAACCAAATGATTAAAGCCACATAGAAAAATTGTTAAATTTTAAATCTGAATCAAAGTATGGTAGTGTTAAAATTAAATAAGAAGTTATTGATTAATCATTTTAACTTAACTAGGTTAGATTATCATAAAATTCAAGATATTCTCCCTTACCTGAAATACCATCATTTTAGCCCAAATAAGGAAAATTTTAATAAAAATTAATCCTTAAAAACTTTAAAGAAAAACAATATTTAATTATTGATAAAATATGATGAATAAATATTTATATATATTTTTTTTCTATTATTTTTTTGATACACTCATATCCACAGCTATTTTACACTAATTAAAAATGTCATTGAATATTTTTATAAACTATATTGACCAAGTTGATATCATATTTATTTCCTTCAACCATTAATTATTAAAATTTCTTGATGATATAAGTTGTATCACCAGATTGCTTTGAATAAAGAAAGAATTAAATTCATTAGTTATTAAATAGGATTTTAGAATTTACATAAATATTAAATTGGGAATTAATTTCAAACTACTCTATTAGGAAGATATTTTGATTAAATTTTTTTATGAAAATTGGTTTGACTTTATTTTGTTTGATTTTATACACTTTTGCTTCCTCATGTGGTATAACGTTTTTATAAATGATAGTTTCAAATCTATAATAATACGATATATTTGCAACAGAAAATGAGACTTTAGAATGGGACATGAATGCTTTCTTTTTTACAGGAGAAAATTTAAAGTTTAACGTTACGCAAGAAAGTAATTTCTTTGAAGTTTTAAGTCCTTTACATTAACTAGGTTAGACAACAAATGCTTTAGGTATCATACTTTTTTATTATTATAGATTTGAAAATAGTTTCTTTAAAACCTTTATTATAAATAGATAATGGAGCATGGACTAATGTCTTTGCAGCATTAGGGCTTAACCAAACATGTTTTCAAGTTTTATTTTCCAAAGAGTAATTTTAATATATATATTTTTTTAGTGGTATTTTAAATCAAGTTAAAGTTCCTAATTTTAATGAATCTATTAAACTAAGAGATTTTACAAATGATTTTGCATGTTATGATTTGGATTTTATTTCAGAAACTAAAGTTGTTATTGATTGCAGTTTGTTTGATTCAGATAATCCTTAAAATAATATAAATGGATTCTTTATTGTAGATATAGATGATAAATAATATTTTGGAATTGAATTAATTGAAAATACCTAAGATTACAATGATACATAATATAGAATAATATCATTCCATAATTATACATTTTATAAAAAGGATGATTAAAATTTAGTATTTAGAAGTGAACCTGCTTGGGCAACTAAAAAGGCTCTTTAACAATTTATTTTAGAGAAAAATAGCAAAATTGAAGTTTTTTAATTTACAAGTAAATTTACACTTTTGAAGAACACTCCTGTTGCAATTTTAACAAATGCAGTCTTAGCAAAATTATTAGGAATTGATGAGAGTAAGTTAGAATTTTCATTAGTTGACTTTAAAATTGAAGCAAATGGTAGAATTTATATTTTAGATGCATATAATGGTTTGTATGTAGTATCTTTTAAGTAAAAACTTCTAGAATGGAATTTGGAAGATGTTATAAACATTTCATATAAAAGCCTTTGTTTTGGCTTTGATATTCATAGCTCATTTAATAAGGATGGAACTTTGACTTAAAGAGTAGTCTTTGTTTATTAAAATACACTTGTTGTGTTGGAGAATGGATTGTAATTGTTTTAATTACTTATACCTAAAATAGATTGGTATAATACATTTTAAATCAAATTGAGTTAACAATATATTATTCTTAAGATAAGAAATACGATACATATATTTAATATAGAGAATGGAAAGAAAATCTTTACCTAAGTCGAAGATGCTAGTATCATTATAACAAATCCAAATTACGAAGATGTTATTGGTATTAACTCTTAAACTGCAAAGAGATATTTCCTTAATAATGGTTTATTGAGATTGAATAGACTAGATAAGGCTAGTTCTATTAATAAATTTGTAACGCTTTTAGCTGAAACAATAGAAGAACCCTCAAAACGTTGTTTAGTTACACTTAATTTACTTGTTCTCAAAAAGAATGATACTTAAATTCTTCCATTTAACAATAATCCATTTAATCCAATAATAATAATTCCATCTGATCCATTAATTTTAAAATAATTTGCATCTGGGCCTAATTTATAGTATTCATCCATAGATTTAATAGAAAATTAATTAAAAAGCAAGATATCTTAGAAAATTATATAGGTGATAAAATTATAAATAACAAATATTCATATGCCAGGTCCAAAAGATATTATATACTCAGATATTTTGGTTAATGAAAATCCAGCAGAATTTTATTTGTTGCTATAAGTTCAATCGAGAATTGTCTATATATATAGCTGTTAACATCAATATCAAAATTTAGAAATTGCAGAATGTTTAAATTATAATACTTTTGCATTTCCTACTATCATTGATTAAAATGTGGGTTTCTTTTCTTGGTTCACTATTTATTCTTAATTAATAATTATTCATCAAAACTCAAAATTTTCTGTCAATATATATTCATTAAGAGACGGATAAATGAGAAATATTTATAGAATAGAATTTGATGATAAAAATTTTGATAATTAAATCTCATCAGTAGCAATAATCTTTGATAATATTTATATAGTCTAATCTGGAATCAAGAGAGTTTCAATATATTAATTATATTCTCCATTTAGGTTATTATATGAGATTAATCAGAATGATTTACATAAATTTGATATGCATGGAATATTTACTCCAATTAAGGTTTTTGGAAATAAAAGTAATATTTTGGCATTTATATAAACATAAACTTCTTTATTGATTGGAATGTTTTCAACAATTTAATCTCCCTCCTTTGTAATACATAAAGTGATTCCAATTTTAGATGGATCAGATGTAGAAGTAGCTATTGGAATTAATAGCTTTTTTGTATTACAAACTTTGAAAGGTGAAGATCGTATCGAAGAATATCAATGCGAACATCTTTAAAATATTTATAAATTAAAAGACATTCCATTATTCAATTATAAACTCTAAAAACCTTTAACTGTAGATTATTCCTTTTAGACAGGATGGTTTTATGTAAGAGCAAGTGATGGGTTATAAACAGTTATATTAGTTTATTAGCCTAATGTCTTATCTCACATTTCTTTATACAAAGTATTAGAAACAGAAGGATTAGTAAAAGATGGATTAAAATTT